AATCTAAAAATAACCAGTTTACTTGTATATGCTTAGGTCATTCAAGTGCAGTTGTTGTACAGTAAGCTTTAATTATAGCTTAATACATGTAAGTTAGAGTACAAACACTAAAACTGTGCAACATAAATACCACTAAATACTGCTAAATTATGCCAATTCTATTGTTTTTTATTGTTTAATTAACAATATTTTGTAGTAAATAGTGGAAAGTGTTGCACACATTTAAGCTTAATGTTTATGTACTCTATTAAAACTAGTCAATTTATGTATACCTTCTTCTTTGGCCTTTCGTTCAGCTTCTTCTTTCTTTAATTTTTCTTTTTCTGCTTTACTTAGTTTGCTGCTTTTAGCTGATCGACCCTTTTGAGCCGGTTTTGGAGGCTGAAATGATTTGATGTAAAATTTTAAGCTCTGACAGCGCGAATCCGGTGCAATTGCAAGCTTGACGACAACAAAACAAATAAAATTGCATGTTTTTACGACTCTTCTGCGAGATATAAATGTGCATAACAAAAAAGTATGTTCTACTAGTATATATAAACGAAAATTGTTATACAATAGATAACAAATAAAGCAGTTTTTACTTACCATTTTACAAAATACGAAGATTGTTGTCCTTAGAGACGGCTGACCTGAGCCTGTTTTGAGTCAGTTGCTGCTCGTAGAGGGCATGCGCTTGGAATTCAAAATGGCGGACAACTGTACTCACGAAGAACAAATATAAAGGCTTTTTGGATAAAAATGGCAAGTTATGAAGACTTAAAAGGCCCTTTTACATTGAAAATGAAGACAGTAAAGCTTAAGAAAACATTTGGTAGAGCAAAATTGTTTGAAATACGCCGTATTGTACGCAGAATCAAGCAACTTTCTCTCAAGAAAGGCACAGCACAACAACTCGMCAAGAACAAKAGAAAGATTGACCGGCTTGAAAAACAACTTGAATTTCTAAAAGACACAAACTTTSAARCATTCAAGACCTCGTTAGATACAGAGGATGAATTAAAAGACAGCAATATGGCTACTGAAGGGGACAGTGACGTGAAGTCTTTGGTCATGTCGAAATTGCTAGAAATTRTTCGAAAATCGGAAAAGTCMCATCAACTCGAAATCAAACAAAAAAACACAAGAAAATCACCTGATCCTTATAAAGAAAACGATGCTCAAGTTGCGATTTTACAAGATGATTCACAATTAATTGAAAACAAGGAGATAGAGCTGRAAAATGAATTTTTCGATACAAATTCCCAAGATCTTGGTATAGAAAATTCAAACAGCGATTCAGAATCATTGGACTCTAATCAAAAGGATTCACAACTGTTTCTCGATGATTCTATGTCTGTCAGTAGCTTTGGAAATGGGAAAAGAAAAAGAGGTGAAAAGAAGGAAAAAATTGAAAGGAAGAAAAAAGATGTTGATTTTGAAGACCATGAATTATCATCTGGCTGTGAGGAGATTGGTAACAAGCCGACTTTGTCATTGGATTCAGTCTTTGTTGATAGCCTCTCAAGTGGAAGAGACAGGTTGGATGGGAAACGAAAAACGAATGGGAAAGGAAAAAGAGGTGTCAAAAGTAACAAAAGGAATGAAATTAAGAAAAAAGGAAACCGGCTTGGACAGAGACAAAGAAGGGAACAATGGATAAAGCTGTATGGAAAAAAAGCAAATCATCTGAAAAGTGAAAGAAGAAAAGAGGACATGAATAAAAAGAGAAGAAAAATGAACAGCAGAAATGGAAATGACAATGCAACAAAGAAAATGACAAAGAATTCCACAACCTTGCA